GGTTTTTCTGCTTCTCTAATAAATATGAGGAAACAGGTAGCTGATGACTCCAATTGAAGAAAACTTAGTATGTAATCAATTACTTTTAAGTTGATATTATTAATGTATGTGAAAATGATACATCAAATGTCATAAACTGATAGTTGCTTATTTGGGTGTTACAACAGAACCCCAATTTGAGCCTTTGTTTAATCTTACCCTCCTTTCAAAATATAAAATGATCTGGCAGCTGCTACATTACATCCATTCCCTCAGTGTAAAATTATAAATCATAATTTCTGATAAGATTTTTGTTCCACAAACATACCAATTTTTTCTTAAATCATTGGTATTTTGCCCATATCATTTTTGGCATTCATAATTTTTATTTGATCAGTTGTTTTCATATATTCATATATCCCTGTAAGCTTCATAATAGTTTATGAATCATTCAGATAACTCCCATCCCAGAAACAAGTGCAGCCTTTGTATGTATCAGGTGCCCAGTCTTTAAAAGCTTGGACATATTTTCAATTGGGTGGGCCTTCTCCCTTAAATAACCCCTTTTAAACATGAAGGTCACAATATGGAAAACATACTAGTATTATCCACTTTCATGTAGCCCTTGAACCTTCTTACCCTAATTAACTGTGTAAAAAATGTCAAAATAAAATCTTATAAAAACTAAAAAAAAAATACATGTTATGAGAAAATTCTGCATAACTTTTAAAACTTTGGCACCCAAATAAAATTATTCAACTCTTAAAAAAATAAATAAATAAATAAAAGCTTGGACATATTTTCTTCAAAGATCATATTAGAATCATTAATTTTAGTATTTTGTTATTAGATACACATCCTTCTGTTTATCCTTAAACATTTCAGGACGGACGACACTTACCAGACAACCCCATCACATATGAAATTTATAAATGACAACTCAAAAAATAGTCTTGCCCATCAAAATGACTTCTGATACCATGTAGGCCACAGAGTTACTGCATGATAAGATCAAGCCCTTAGATTTTTCAACTATTTTCTAAGATTTCCATGTGAATGAATTATATGTCTATATGACTATAGAAGTTAATCTTTGCTGGACGATTCAACATTTTATACTCAACAAGCCAGGTCATTTCTTCTTCATAACATCTTTTCAAATGTAGCAATATTTTAAAAGCAGAGCTACCACTCTATACAATGAAAAAGAAAAAGAATTCATTCCAATAGAGGTGGGGAATGTCTCACGATCTAGAAAAAACATTAAGGACCTAAATAGATGTATCATGAAGAAAAAAAAATGTAATTCTCAATGATCGGTATGATAAAGGCTAGCACATAGAAAAAAAGATATTTGCCTTAAAGTTTATACTGCCTGTCATATCCAAATTCATAAATTTTATTGGCCCACCTACTTTTGAATTATTTCTATTACCTTGTACTTCTGTGAAATTTATTATAAATCCTTGTCTGATCCATGCCACTCAAATCTTTGAATAATAAAGGCAAGTTTTTCACTCAAAACTCCAAGTTTTACCCATAAATCAGAGAAGAAATAAGAATAACATTGCAGCTTTGAGCATCAGTATAAGTTTTATTTTGGAGAGTTATAGTGGTATTATGCATAATCAAGTCATACAAATATGTACTTGATGTTTTCAACTGTCCACATAAAGCAGCAACATTTGTTATACAGAAATTGATTTTAATGAGTTCTATTGTAGGACGTACATGTATTATTTTAAAGATTTATTTATTTTACTTGCAAGTCAGAGTTACAGAGAGGAGAGACACAAAAAGAGAGATAAGTTTCATCTACTAGTTCACTCCCCAAGTGGCCACAACAGCCAGAGCTGAGCTCATCCGAAGCCAGGAGCCAGGAGCTTCTTCCTGGTCTGCTGCAGACCAGCTTAGGTTGACTCGAGAACTTGCAGAGGTTGCATGGATCAATGAGGAGATAAGAAGAGGAAGCATGGACCACTATGGCATGATGCCCATAATGGACAACTCAGAACAGTTACTTTCTTTATTTATACACAAATCATCATAAGCTTTTGAACAACATCCAATTGTTTCATTTTTACTTCATTATAAAAGAATGATTATTTAAAAATCCTAAAAACACTATTATTATTTTACTCCAGAGAAAATATTTTCAGCAAGCTATTACTCATTCAAACCTGCAGTGACCTGGCTGAAGCCAGGAACTCCAAGTTTGGCAGCACATGCAGTTACATTATGACAAGTGGTTTCAATTTTCACTAAACCTAAACTAATATTACTTAAAATACCAAGAGTACAGAATTAAAAGAAAAGCTCATAAATGAAAGGAACTTACAAAAGCATACAACATAGATTCTTTATTAAATCTCATAATCAAATCATGCATTAATTACCATCACCTTCACCTAGTACTGATTCAATTGTTTTTTGTTCTTTTGTTAAAGGGCAGTGAAAGGGATCAGGGCAACTCAGCCTTTCTACAGAGGGTCTTTACAAGAAACTTACTTTTATCTTTATAAACTGTTTTCTTTCCCTAAATATGAGTGCCAATATAAGGTAGAAGTTTGTATAAATCGTTTTCTTTCTCTAAATATAAGTGCCAATATAAGGTTAAAGTTTTAAGCTTTAGAAACCAAAATGTGTCATTTCATGTGTTGTAACAGCTCGAGGCTGCACGGTAAACAAACTTTTTGTACCTCCATGATTGCCATCCGTTCCAAGATATTACTAAGCTATTTCTTAAGGAAAGCATTGCTTATATTAGGGAAAGCTCCAGGACAAAGGTGGGTACGTAATAGGATGTTTAGAGACATTGTGGGCTCAATTGTACTATTGTATGCTTTTAGCTGTGTGTCATTGCCTTAAGTTGCTAAAGATGCTTTTACCATAACATGATTGATCAGTTTGAAGTATTACACCAGTTACAAAAATCATTTCACATTTGCAGAAAAACAACACCCTCAGGAGAATTCTATGAAACATCAGAGAGGTGATCGAGTGTCCATACAATGGGGTGAGGCAGCAATGGGGTGACCAGACACATTCTGCCGGGCCTTGCCACATGGCCAGAAACTCCTCATAGCCTTGCTAATTGAAGAGTAGTGCTCATCACACACCCATGCCATCCGACCCAAATGCATGGCTTCCCGCACTGGTCCCCCAAGTGGATGCAAGTTCCCAAGGCTTTAGGTCATCCTTGAGTGCTTTCCCAGGCCATAAGCAGGGAGCTGGGTTGGAAGTGGGGCAGTCGGGAGACAAACTAGTGCCCATATGAGATGCCGGTGCATGCAAGGTGAGGACTTTAGCCACTAGGTTACTAAGCAGGGCCCTTGGTCTTGCTTCTATGAGTACAGACAACAATGACAGTGTTCTGCCTTCAGAAGGAAAAACAAAGCTGCCAAAATATGAAGAGTTTCATGAAAATAGAATAAAGAAATGGAGTAAAAGAGATAAGCTTTCTGATCATCTTGTTTTGTTTTTATTAATTTTATATCAATATTAGACCAGTTTCATGCTTAAATGGAAATTATTAACATTATTATTACAGAAATTATTAACATTATTATTACAGTATTATATATAAGAATAAAATGATCAACTATCAGAGAGAAAATTTGCTGTGATATCCCAAAATCATTTTTAGCACTTACAGAGCAAATTGCTCTAGGAACATTTGGCTTGACTATTTCCTAGCAACTATTTTTCCTTTTTTAGGATAATTATTTACTTTACTTAAAGACAGCTTTTACAGAGAGAAAGAGAGATACAGAGAAAAGATCTTCTATTGCTGGTTCTCTCTGCAAAAGCCAGAGCTGAGCCTATCTGAAGCCATGAGCTAGGAGCTTCTTCCAGGTTCCCCACATGGTAGAGGTTAAGGATGTGCGCATTCCTCCTCTGCCTTCCCAGTTACAGCAGAGGTGGATCAGAAGTATAACAGTCAGGACATGAACCAGTGCCCAAATTGGATGATGGCACCACAGGGAGGAAGATTAGCTTGCTGCACAGTGCCAGCTCCAGGTACTTAATCTGTTGACAATAATTTTTGTTATCTTGATTGGAAATTGTAAAATGTCTCCACCATTCAAAATTCACACTTCCTTCAAAAATTTTCTATATCTTACTGGGATTTTCTTCTCACACACAATCTTTTTTTTTTTTCCTTTAAGATATGCTCATTTCTGCCAATGTTTTATCCTGGGTTTCATTTTATACACTTATGATTACTTCTTCTGAGTTTTCATTATTTACTCATATGTTGACACTGTGAAGATTAAAAAAATGAATTCACAGGCCTAGTGCAGTGGCCTAGGCGCTAAAGTCCTTGCCTTGAACATGCCAGGATCCCATATGGGAGCCGGTTCTAATCCCAGCGGCCCCGCTTGCCATCCAGCTCCATGCTTATGGCCTGGGAAAGCAGTCGAGGATGTTCCAAAGTCTTGGGTTCCTGCACCCACTTGGGAGACCTGGAAGTGGCTCCTGGCTTCAGATTATATCAGGTCCAGCCGTTATGGTCACTTGGGGAGTGAATCATCGGCGGGAAGATCTTCCTCTCTGTCCCTCCTCTGTCTCTCTATCTCTCTGTCTCTGTCTCTCTATCTCTCTGTCTCTCTCTCTATATATATATATATACATATATATCTGACTTTGCAATAAAAATAAAATAAATCTTTACAAAAAATGAATTCACAAGCCAAGTAAAGACTCTATGGCAGTAAGTAAAACAGATGTCTTTATATTTGGTTAGATGTCTTTATATTTGGTAACTTTCTACTTTTTGTGAAAATTATATTCCATGCTTAGCTGTAAAAATATTAAAATCACATGCAAAATTAAACCTACTAATTATCACATTTAGGTCATCTTACAAACCAACATCACAATTTTACTACTGTTACACACATTCCACTAACAGAATATCCAGTATTTAACACACTGTGAAAATAGTTACAGAATGAATAATTAGTTAATCCAGTAATTGGTATCACTTTGAGATAGCAATAAACCACCAAGTTTGACTTTTACAAAACTTGATCTTTATCTCTTTCATATTCATTTATGCATTCCACGCTGCTAGCCTTCAGAGACGGGATATAACATTCTGACTTGGAACGGTTATATTTCACACCAGAAGGAGTTAGGAAATCCGCTGCTGGAATGTGAAGAAAAGCAAAAAAAATAGTCAAGATCATCAGAATTGTACACAGTAAGAAGGTAACTTTAAAACACACAAAAAAAATGAACATTTTTGAGTTGTATTTGATTATCCAAAAATCTGCTATAGTGTCATTTTCTTCATATACACAGGAACTGAGTCTGCGAGGTATGGAATATGAAAGGAAATCAAGGTAAATATTCATATTTCAAATGAAGAAAAATTTTAAAAATTGGCTCATATGAACCCTGTATCGTAACAGAATTTTTTCCTTCCTTTAAAGGTACATTTCTTAAACTGCCACTTACATCCCTTTCCCTTTCTCCGGAATGATACTGGGAAATGTTTAGAATGTAATTTGTGTTCCAAAAAGAACAAGCATATTTGACATGAAATGAAGTTCCAAGTAGATCTTTAAAGTAGTTATTTAGATAGTCAAGCACTAACACATGAGAAAAAAAAATGCTCTATGTATCTGCTTTTCAATGCCAGTGCTTCAACTGAGATATATTACTCTTCAAGGATTTCTAATTCCTTTGATGATATTCCCTGGCAGGAAAGAGAAGCTGTGTAACAGAAACCCATTGTGTATTATATCACTGATACTCACTAATTCTTTCTTTGACAACGTAATCTGGTATTGAGAATAAACTGTTGACAGGGGCTGGTCCTAACTGCTTGAATGAGGTTATAACTTTTCCTCATACACCCTCTATCTGCCACCCATTAAATCTCCATTTGTTTCTCTAAGTTCTGTAACATACATACAGTCTAGAAGTTGAAATAGAAATCTTGTCATTCTTTACATAAAGCTGCCAAAGAATTACTTTTACATGCTAGAACTAGAATGCATTAGGAGATATTACTAATTTTCGCATTGTGGAGATACTCTTCAATCTTAACGTAATATTAAGAGAATCCCCTTAATAGATTGTGCCAAGCAGTGGGAGTGAACAAGTCAGCCAACACGAAAGTGTACCTTCCTAAGCCTCCTTAAATAAAGAGTGAGGAGTCACCATATGAATTTTTCCTCTTACTTATTGAATAGCTTAGAAAAAAAAATGAATATTACAAAACTTATGTTCAAATGCATCCATGTGTCTGAGACTTCTAAATTCTAACAAACCTAAACGTATTTGAGTGGTCACATATTAAAGAAAAAATTTTTGACAGATAAATACAATCCAAACAACCACCTGTCTAATCCAGCTGAAATATCCATTGTCCTATGTACTTTCTCAAGTTTTCTTTTCTTCAGAAGAAAGAGTAGAGGGGCATAAACACACCCAAGAGAGAAAACCAATATCTTTTTGAACCGTACAAAGACCATCATGGTACAAGAAAACATAGACCTGTCCTCTTTCTCAGACTTCTCTGAAAAAAAAAACTAAAGTGAATGGCAATTTCTCTGCACTATTGGAAAAATGTCATAGAAGGCAAGGAATTTGAAGTTTAGCATCAAAGCCTGCAATTGACAAGGCCAGGATTACAAAACATCTAAGTTACTATTTTATTTTATTTATTTTGAAAGCTTTATTTCTTTGAAAGGCAAAGTGTGTGTGATAGAGAAAGAGAAAAATCTTCCATTATTTCACTCTTTAAATGGCTGCCACAGTCAAGGCCAGACCAGGTCAAAGCCACTATTCAAGTCTCTGATGTGTGTGACAGGAATCCAAGCACATAGGTCATCTTCCTCTGAATTCCAAGGCATGTTAGTAATGAGTTGTGTTACAAGTGAGGCTCTGGGACTCAATGTGTGCACATATGTGAGACCATCACCACAGGCAGTGGTTTAACTCACTGTGCTAAATCCTTAAGGCACCATTTCAAGTACACCAGATTTTGTAATCTATTTTGATCACACTTTGAAAAGTCAACAAATTCAAAAGTAAATGCTATAATAAAAATCAAAATAGTACTATTAATCTAGGAAAAACAATATTTCTTTTCGGCACATTTACTTTTGGTGTATTAATGCCATAGGTAAAGTAGATCACTTTCTTTCATTTGTGTCCACAAATGTAGAAGCATCCTCAATAGTACTCTTCACAATGATTTTTAAATTTCTTATTAAATTGCACTTGTCATCATTGGCTTATAATGGTATACATAGTTGTCAGACTGAAAATTTTTCTATTTTGCACATTTTATCTTTATTTTGGAATCATTATAGTGTGAGAAGAGAGTGACCACTGTTGTGAATTTATTTTTCATTGAATAAGCAGATTAAAAATAAGAGACTCAAATGGAACTAAGCCACTGATCATGAATTCTATTAACTGAATTGATTGAGCTAAACCAAAAAGGAGACAAGTCAGTTAAACATGCATGTATTTCTCAGCCAAATTAGAATGGGCTGACATATCAGGGCAAAAATTAAGTTAAGCATAAAAGAAACTGGATTAAAATTACTATTGGCAAAACCAATGTTCAATTATCATCATTATAGCTTTAGTAAGCTATTGAATGGAGTTGTGTTGGAAAAATCATTTTCAGGGAAAGTACATTGTAATTAAGCATTTCCATTATATACACAATATTCAGTTTTGCTATTTGTTAGAACTACTGAGACAAATAAAACTTATTGAAAATTCACTTATAATGTTTTAATGCACCTTGTAGAATTCAATTATAGGTTCAGTGATTTCAACTGCCACCTAGGACATCAGCATTGAATGTTCAAGCACAGATTATAGTTTTGGATGCTCATCTCCTGACCAATATTGTCCAGGAAAGCAGTGGAGGATTGGATGATTGTCCAATTAATTGATTTCCTGCCACATTTGAATGCTATAAGCTGCTAAATATAAAAATGAAAATAGACAGAAGACAGCTGAATATAACTATTTTAAGATGTATAGCAGTCAGTTGTATAAACTAAAATTGAAATGTCAATGAAGCAGTCACAGGATGTGATAAAGAACTCGCATTTTCTAACATATTGGTTACTCAATACCACGTCAATTAACTTCATGATGTTGTAAATTGTTGTTGAAGTTGTGTTGTGGCTTTTCATTGGAGGGGATGATATTCTGCCAGCTCTACTTTCAGACCAGGGATGGTCTCCCAAGGAAACTATTGAATGTACCTGGACAATAAGATGCCGGACTTTCTACATGGTCCATGCCCACAATGAAGGAATCAGGACTGGACATTAACTGTACTATTGCAACAATATGCAGCAATTCAATATGGGGGAGGACTTTTTGGATGGGTTGGGGATTCACAGTTTCGTAGGCTCTGGGGGGTTCCAAGAGCCTATGAAACTGTCAAAATGAAATTTAAAAAAAAAAGAAAATTAGGGCAACAAGAATTTCAATAAAAATTTAATGGTATTCATATGAGAATACTTTTTGGCAAAATGCTCAATCACTGAAGGAACAGATGGGAAGTAGAAATGTGTACCTGAACATATCACACATAATATTGATAGAAAATGTGTGGTAATTATTGTCAAGTAAAAATACGGTGGAGAAGCAATAACTGTAGTTACAGAATTGTCAACTTACGAGTTAATGACTGGCACCGTTTAGCCTTCATTTCATGAGCACCATGTGATAAGGAATAGATATCTTTCTAGAAAGAAAAAGACACTAATTTAGTTTACTCATACAAAACGCTGGCAATTGTTAATATTGCTTATAATATATTAAAACAAATTTATGTGTCACTGGCATTTTTCATGTGTCATGTGTACATTGCCAAGAAAATATAAAATGAGATTCTTATTTATAAGATTACAAAGATATCCAAGAATGATTTTTCAAAAAAAAAATTACTTTTTAAAACACCTTAGAATTACATAGACCTGAATTTGCAATATATCTAACAAGTTCAAAAATCAAAGTGGAGAGAATCAAGATGGCGGAATAGGGTAAGGACACGTTTAAACAGATGGAGAAGCATTTAACCAGAATGAAGCAGAGAGGGCATATTTCAGGAAATACGAAAGGACAGAACAACAGCAGAGGGGTACCTGGAGACTGACAGACACATGAAAGCAGCGGGCATAGCAGTGTGGTGTTGCAGTGAATGATATCCCAGCACGGCGATCTAAACTCCACCAGCAGCTGGAACTCCACCAGCAACCAGGTGGGAAGGGACTTTCACTGGGAGCTTGGGAGGTGAACCCAGATAGGGAATTGTCTGTCCTGCTGGTCCGTTTGATTTGACCAGGAGCAGAGACAGAGCAGCAGGTCCCAGGCGGGCAGTACGAGAACAGCGAGGATTTCATAGCCCAGTCAGCCCCCTAGAGCTGAATTGTTCGCCATTTTGCCTAAGGAGGAAAGGGCAAAGGAAAGGAATGAGCATGCTCTGAGAATGAGTGAGCTCATTTCTGACTCGGTGAACTGCAACGACGTGGCATTCTACGGGTTCCATCCAGGGCAGTCTGGATAACCCTCGGATCTTTCAGCAAGCAGATCAAGAACTATTGTGGTAGCACGTCGGGCGCCATTTTGTGCACTGTGGCAAAAGCTTTGGGACTGCAGGGGACAGCAGTGAACTGCGCATGTGCTGAGTTCGTGAGAGAACTCGCTGAGGTCCCACAGGAAAATAATACCGACTGTGGCATCGTACCAGTCAAAACAGGTCCGTGTGGCACCCAGACCTAGCGTCCAACAAGTTCCGACAAGATTAGCACCACCAACAACCTAACTAGATAGGACACCTTGTATCTCTTTAATCCTGGAACCCACTCCAACCGGAAGAGGGAGAAAGGTTGCAGAGACAACAGTGCAGCCTCAGCACGGTATCACAGGAGGTGGAGAGTGGTGAGCCAAGAACTGGGCTGTGGAGACCACGGTGGATATCTGACATAAGAAGCCAGACCTGGAACTCGCTGGAGGTTGTGGCACAAGCGGCTGCAGGCAAAAAGTTGTGTACCAACTGCAATAAGTAAAATCGCATTGTAGACCTGTGGGTGACACAGCTTAGAAACCTGCCCCAAGAAGAAGACTCTGCTAACCAGAGGTACAATGATCAAGAGCAAAAGAAGAGACAAAGGCACAATGAATGTTACTGAGCACTCCCCTGCAAAGGAGCAAAACCCTATGCCAACCTCAGAGGTAACTGAGGAAGACATTGAGAAAATGGGGGACACAGAATCCATAAGACTCATTTTAAAGATTCTGGTTAAAAAATGAGAAGTTAATGCAAGAGTTCAAAGAATTTAAGGAAGCAGTAAAGGAAATCAAGGCTGGTATATCAGAAATTAAGAACACAGTAGAGCAAATTACAAGTACAGTGGAGAATCTCCAAAATAGAATGAAGCAAGCAGAAGAAAAAATCTCAGAATTGGCAGTTATCTCTTGTCACCAGGGGGAAACAAACAAAAAGTTGGAAGCAGAGCTGGATCAGGCCAAAAAAAGTATTCAAGAATTGAAAGACACTATTAAGAGGCCAAATATAAGGGTTATGGGAGTCCCGGAAGGTGCAGAAAGAGAAGCTGAGTTTGCAAATGTATTTAAGGAAATAATCAAGGAAAAATTTCCCTCATCTGAAGAAAGAATTGGGAAACAAGATGCAGGAGGAGCACAGAACTCCCAACAGGCTTGATCAAAAGCGATCTTCACCAAGACATATGATTATCAAGCTCTCTTCAATGAACATAAGGAAAAGATCCTTAAATGTGCATGTGAAAAAAATCAATTGACATATAAAGGAAGGCCAAGTAAGCTCACAGGAGATCTCTCACAGGAAACTCTACAGGCAAGAAGAGAATGGAGTGACATATTCCAGATTCTAAAAGAAAAAAATCGTCAGCCTAGGATAACATACCCTGCAAAGCCTTCTTTCATCTTTGAAAATGAAATAAAATTCTTTCATAGTAAAGAAAAGCTAAAAGAATTTGCCTCTTCAAAACCTGCTCTACAAATGATACTTCAAGATGTTCTCTTGACAGAGAAGAGCAATAGCACCTACAAAAACCAAAAGGAAATGTGAAGAACATCCCAGTAAAATGACAACAGAAGACTAAACCAACGAACAACCCATTCCTACAATGACAGGACCAAAATACCACCGATACATATTAAACTCTGAATGTAAATGGCTTAAGCTAAATCAAACATCATAGATTAGTACACTGGATTAAAAAACAAAACCCATCTGTTTGTTGCCTACAGGAGACACACTCCAACAAAGATCAGCAATAACTATAACACATGGGTTTTGTTGTTTTCTGTTGGTTTCATCTCTTCAAAACACTTTCTTCTGATTAAATCATTCAATGACTTCTAGATCATACAGTAGCATCATTTTCTTCAAGAAGGTTCTTGATTTTCACTTCTTCAGCTACACGTTATACATTTAATAGCATGTTGTTTAACTTCTTGGTGTTGTTAATTTCTTTTTTTCTCCCGGAAGTTGACTTTGTTTTGTGGCTCTTCATTTAAGGGAAGGTATAGTAGCTGTTTAATGGAGACTGTCATATCTAGTAACATGTCATTTAACTTCATGGCATTGTAAATTTCTATTTTTCTTTCTATTGTTGATTTTGTATCATGACTTTTCATTTAAGGGAATGTACAGTAGTTATGTAATGGAGACTAACAACCAGATGTGAGGATGCAGTGTGGTCGGCATCTCTGTTTCCAGACAAAGATGGACTTACAGTGAAACTGTTTATATTATATTTTGACAATAGGATTCTGGACTCTCTGCCATTGTCCATGCCCGCAATGATGAACATATGACTGATCATGAAGAACTATATGTTAATAATGATATAAAGGAACTGGGGGGGGGAGGGAACTGGGGAGAGGATAGAGGAATATGGAACTGTATCGTAAAATGTTAGCAATAATAAAATGTGAAAAATTTTTAAAAAATCAAAGTGAAAATTCACACAGAGTAAGTTATTTGACTAAGCTGCATAAATTTAGTTATTGCTGTAACACCAAACAAAACAAGACATGGTAATGCACATACTACTGTACCTTTTCAGAGGGCAGGATTCAGCAATTTCACTTAATGGTCTTTATTCTAACACGTTTGTTTTTAGGGGCAGACTGATGGTTGCTATCATCTGTCATTTTAAACGGTCAGATGCCCAAAACATTAAGATATAGCCACAAAATGAACCACCTTCAAACAGCAGTATAGTTCCCTTACATTAGAGGCAGAAATAATGTAGATGCCTTGGTTTCAATGAAAGACTTTACACCAGGAATCTTATGGACTGGACTATGACATCTACATAGTATTAAAAAAGAGGAGCTCATTGAATAATCCATTTTAATATAAACTCAAAATGCCATTCCCCAGACTATTTCCATAAACAAATGTCAATAGGTTATTGGCCCTGCCATTCTAATTACTTTTCTTAATCTGTCAAATATCAACAGCATCATCACTTTATCCTCAGTGAAGACTAAAATTACCAGACTAACATTTCTATGTCCTTTTTATTCTCCACCACATTTATTCACAATGGAAAATAATTAAGTTAATCAAAAATAAGAAAATGAGAAGAAATCTCCTGCTTTTGAAATTGAAAATTCCCCCTGAGGAAAAACTTGCCCTTATTTAATTGGACTTAACTTCTCTGAAAGAGTGTTAAAAACTCTGTTAGGAATTTGAAGACTCCTTCTTTTGTCACAGAAAATGCAGAAAGAATGTGTCATAAATTCACATTCAGAAAATATATTGTCTCATTTGTAAATATTATGTTTAAGTAATAGACCCTCATTTACATGTTCTTAATATAAAACAGACACACTATTTTATTTAATGAAACCACATATAGTTTTCCTTATATTCTTAGCACAACAATTTGGAAGGCATTTTTTTTAAAGGGCACCTACATGAAAATATGCTTGAATTACTTCAACAACACGTGCTGAACCTGCTAAATCATTTCTTTCTCAGAACCATTTATCCATGTTCCAACATTATTAGAAGCAGGGTGCCAGGTAATGTATGCAGTTTTGCTTAGATAACGCTTTGCCCCCAAAAATCAACATAAGAATTAACGATTAGAAAAATATTTACATATCAGGAAAAGAACCTCCATCTTTCTCAAAGTTACATGAACATCTTCTGCCTCTAGTATGCACTCCCTAGGTTCTGCGTACTAATTCAGGACAATTTTAAAGAAATTATGGTGTGACATACAAAAATAAAATAGACCTTTTTCATCATTATAATTGTATAGGTCAGTAAATCTTATCCATATAGTTTATATCCATATTCAAATGAATATTTTCATAATCATTTCTAAAGGTTAATGATATTCCAGTGTCCTTCTGTGTGTTATGTTTTCTTCATTCGTTCACCTGTTGTTGGACTCTGGGTCACCTCTACTTTTTGGCTGTTATAGGCAGCACTGTAACAAGCATAGACATGCAACTATGTCTTCAAGGTTCTGTTTTCAGTTCTTCTGGATATATACTCAGAGATGAGGTTGCTAAATGACACAGTCATTTTATTTTTAATTCACGTGGAAAGAGCTGTTTTCTGCAGGTTCACATTCCCACCAACAGTACACAAGGATTCCTTCCACATCCTCCACCTCCTCACCAACATTCATCCTTTTCTCTTTGTTTAATGGTAGACACACTGGGGGGGTCTGTCTT